AAAGAGACCTCATGCCGTTGGTTAGTAGAAACCCTCAAAAGAGAATTGAAACCATTAAGCACAAGTGTCTCAATTTCATAAGTTTGTTTGGTTTTCTTTATCCACAAAAGAGAGAGTTGTTCTTCGGTGTATTCTAAGGAACTTGGGCCTGAAGCTTTGGTGGATTTCGGAGTAGCTCATCATTGTGGATTCAACATTGGGCAAGATAATTCCGAGGTGGAGATGGCGGTAGAAGAGGCACATAGGGGTCGGTTCTATTCAGGTGTGGATTCGCTAGGTAATTGGGGGTACACTTGTGTAATTCTTTTTTGTCTTGGTGGATTTTTTTGTGACTTTGGCCCTGTAGACACCCCATTTTTTACCATCTTCAAGACTTAGACATCATCGTTTGCGCATGTGATGATTGTGCTTGTTTGTCTTCATTTTGAGCGCCCGAAGTCCTCAGCGGAACGCCTTGACTTTGAGCCTTGAACCTTAACTATTTTGCACTTGTTTTTGGACCAACAACTTGGTGCCTCTTTCCTGGAAGAGAGGGTGACCTGTCGGCCAGCCCTGGGATTTGTCGGCCATGGTTTGTGCTTGTCGGCCACCAGTGATGGCCGACGGCCATTGGTCTTATTTTCCAGATATTTGTTTGCTAATTGTGCCAGTTGTTGCTCACTGAGCTGCATCTTCATACACGTGTATGGTGAGATGTATTCAAGCTCAAGGCTTGATTTTCTATATACAGGGGGTGTCCTCCCCCATTTTGGGAGGTTAGACATTTTAGACCAAAAATTTCTCTCTTTCTCTCTAGCTTTCTCTCTCTCACTTGTTATTTTGTGCCTTCAAGTCTAGTTTCTCTACACTTTTGCACATCAATCCTTAACCAAACACTCTCATCTTTGAGTTGAGGTCCCTTGGAGTTTTGTTTAAGCCTTGGAGAGGGGTTTGAGCTTGAATTTGTGGCTAAATTGTGCTTTGTTTCAAAGGTAGAGAACTTACCTCATTTAAGCTTATTGTGCATACTTGCTTTGCCATCTTTTTCAATTGTTTTAAGGCTGCTTTTGAAGTGTAAAAAATTCTATTTTTGAGGCATAAAAGTGGTTTGAGTTTTTGTAGCTTGTGAAACTTTTTGTGCTATCTTTCATCACATTCAAAACAACTTTTTTGGGCCTTCTAACCACTGAAATTCAGATATTTTTTAGTGAAAAAAACCTTCTTTTGAAGTCCAAAATTGGAGGGGATAGCCTCCCCTCCTTGTGTCTTGCTTGTATGCCTAGGTAGCCTCACATATTAGCATGTTTTTCTAGCTTAACTTAGCTTTAGTCCATCATGATTTTGCCTCTATTTTGACCTACTTTAGCTCTGTTTTGGGCTATTTGGGTCATTTGAGCTTTGTTTTGTATAGTTGTGGTGCAATTTCCTTCACAAGCTTAATGTTTCTAGGCTTTGAACATCATTTTTGTGTCTTGGTTGTATGTTTTAATGCTTTTTCATGCCTAATTCTAGCACTGAAATCTCTGCAATCTCCCTCTATTCTCCACTCTTTCGTTTACCTTGAAAGTGGTTTTAAACCCCTTGTTTGCTTAAGTGTGAAATTGAGACATTAATGCTTAATGGTTTAATCCCTTTGGGGGTTTGTTATCAACAGCATGAGGTCTTTTTCATGACCAAGGCACTTGTGGTTTAAGCCCTCTTTCCATTGGAGGACACTCACTTTTAGATTTAACCGATTAAAGATTGGATCAGTAACTAAAATGAGTAAACAAAACATGACAAGTAAAAAAGGCAAGATAAACATCTTTCGTGTTGCATTGTATCTGTTCGAATCGGACGTTAATTCGAACACGAGGAAAATGGGACATTTCATACTCAAAGTGATGAAATGTGCTACTTTCCTTGGTCACCATCACCCTTGATCATGCATGATAGGGTGGTGGTCTTTTTGGGTCTTGTTGTGCACTCATTAAACTTGTACAAACTTGGTTCTTTGACCATCATGCATAGAAAATGCTTGGTTGATGGTTTGAGAGCCAAGAGTTATACTCCTTTAAGCTTATATGATGATAAGGATGGTAACAGTACAGATAACCTTTGAGAATACACTACTCTGTCTCTGTTTGCTCTCTGTTGCAGCAAAAAAGGAAGTTCAGGGCAGGGATGGCCGACCGGCCACCAGCACTGGCCAACCGACCACCAATGGTAGCTGACGGCCACCATTGGTAGCCAACCGGCCATTAATGAAGAAAGTTGCAAAGTGTGCTCCTGAGGGGAGCAGAGGTGTTGTGGAAGTTGGTAGCTTCTTTAGTGTTCAAAATATGCAAACAGAGTCATTCAATGGCAAGGCGGTGGCATTTTCGGGTAGAGACCAACCGAGCATGCATGCATCCCTCGCCCCTCGAGGCCATTTAATCGCTTTGCTTAATTAGTGGTTACTAAGTAATTAGTTTAATTCCTTTGTACTTAATTGGCTTTGTTTAGTTAATTACTTCAATTTGTAATATTTAATTAGCTTAGAATAAGTTAGTTAATTCTTTTCAATTATGTTGTAATAGTTAGCTTAATTAGCAGCTAGTTGGTTAGTTTATTCATTCGGACTCTCCTTCTTGAGGGCGTAATGTTGTAGTAAGTGTGCGTGTGTGTGTGCATGTCTTTCAACCCCGCGTCTTTCTTACTTTTATTCAATCTCTTTCGATGGTTAGATTAAGGACATATTCAATTAGCATACATTATGCTTACATGATTGCATCCATTCATTTGTCTCGCATGCACCGAGGCTCGACGCATCATTCAAACTGCTTTGCAATTTCAATATCTTCTTTGAATACGTGTTTAATCGCATGTTGTTCAAATCGCTCATATGCCATACTAGTAGCCGAGCCTATTAATCGCATTATTGCATGTGTTGCATTAGGCATACTGTATACTTAAGATCATGCATTCTTTCTAACTAGTTTCTGTTTTGGCTTGGAGTACTCGGTGAGTTTTATGCTTTAGCATACTTGCATGAGTGTGATTGCCATGTTGCCATGTTTTGCATGCTTGCCATGTGGCTATGTGCTTACTTGCTAAACTGCATGAATGCCTATGGATGAAGTCTTGTTGTTTGAATTGGAACAATTTAACGAATGTGACTTTTAAGCCCACTTTGTTGTGGCAAATCTGCATCTTTTAAGCCCACTTGAGCGTGGCAAATTCAAACCATTTTCGCAAACAAACATGACTTGAAATGTTCCAATTCTTGCGATGTAGTCTATACTTGCTTGTGTGCGTCATATAGGAAAGTTAGCTAATAATCAGAATAAGAACACATAATGTTTATAAAACATCATATCATGATTAGTAGAGGCCGATCTTTGATCAGGCGAGTGGGAGTGCTCATTTCATGACCTTCCCTCTTCGTACCTAAGTTCCCAAGCCGAGGCAACTTTGGTGATGACGGACACGTGGCCTTTGGCACGAGCCAGGGTTTTCTAAATTTTTCCAAATAAAATATTTAGGTGGCGACTCTGTATCTGGCAAAGCAGTCCAATTTTGGCATTATTTGATTTAAAATCGATTTTTCAAAAAGGTTTGTCGGATTTGGACTCTTTGGTGATTATCAGTTTCACATTGCACTTTGTGAGATTAGATTCAGAACCGCGGGAGTCCGAACTGTGAGGCTTTCTTTTCAAACCCTTTCCGAAAGGCGGGGCGCGGAAAAAGGTGAGTCCATAGGCCCATGGTTTTTTTTTTTATATCACAATTAGAGGCTCTCCAATTGTGGTTTTTCCATGTTTAATCATTGTGTCAATTTGTCTTTGATTGTTTGATTTGGGATCGTTATTTACTGTTTAAAATTGATACATAATCACAAGTCAATATCTTGGGGTTTTTAGATTTTTTTAATTGGTATCAGAGCAGATCGCTCTATTTTTATTTTTTCAAAACTATTGGAGTGAGATCTTGTTTGATTTGTGATAATGGATTCAATTCTTGAGGGGAATTCTATGGTTTGACCACTCCTACTTGATGGATCTAATTATTCTTTTTGGAAAGCTTGGATGAGAGTGTGTTTAAAATCTATTGATGAAAAAGTTTGGTAATTCGTAATATGTGGGTGGACTGAACCAACGATTACCATTGATCAAGTAACTTTCCCTAAACCAATTGATAAGTGGGATACAATTGATTACCAAAATAGTAGCTGGAATAGTAAAGCTATCAATTCTCTCTTTTGCGCCGTCACACCAGAAGAGTTTAGTCGTATTTGTAATTATGAAGTCGCAAAAGAGGCTTAGGATATCTTAGAAACTATTCATGAGGGGACTCTTTCGGTTAAATGCTCAAAACTTCAAAGGCTCACGTCTAGTTTCAAAAACCTTTCAATGAAAAATAGTGAGACGTTTGATAAATTTTATGCGAAGTTGAGTGACATTGTAAATTCCAGCTTCAATTTAGATGAAAAAAATACTGGAATCCAAGATTATGGAAAAAATTTTGAGGTCCTTGCTCGATCGATTCCCACCAAAAGTTATGACTATTGAGGAAGCTTAAGATGTTGACAACCTCAAGCTGGATCATTTGGTTGGAAATGTCCAAACCTATGAGGCACATATGAATTTCAAAATGAAACAAAAAGATGATATTGCTTTTAGTAGTGCTCATAAAATTGGAAAGGATTTTGATGAGGATTGTGAGATTGATTCTAAGATTACGGATGCTTTTATAAAATAATTTAAAAATCTTTTCTGAAAAAGAAGCTAGATCTTTTGGAATCAACTCATAAATCCAAAGGCAAAAATAGACTCAAAATTGATTCTACAACCAAGAAAAAAAAAGGACAAATACAAAGGAACTCTCAAAGAGTCCAACACTATGAATACCAAGGATTTGGCCACTTTTCTCAAGAATGCCCTAGTCGATTGAGGAAGAAGAAAGCTTTCACTATCACTTGGGATGATGAATTAGAGTCTGATAATGATGAAAGTGACAACGAGACTCAAGGCGAAGAGGGGCGTGAATAATTTCTTACTTTCATGGCGGTTTCCGAAACTGAAGGACGAATGGAGTATCCGAAAAGGACGGTTGAGAATGTCACTGATGATGAATCCTCAGGAAGCAATGATGAAGAGCTTCAACAAGCTTGTGAAAAGTTGTATAAGGAATCTCCTAACTTATCTAAATTGAATGACAAACTCAGTATCAAACTCAAAGCGGTTGAAAGTGAGAATGCCAAACTAAAGAAAGAGATTTCCAAGGCTAGGAATGATAGATCCGATTCGGAGAAGCCGAGTTTGGTGAATGTCTTATAGTACATAAGCTCCGATGTGCTCCCCGGATCAATGAGTACGCGCTCAACTGTGAATCGGTTTACGCGTAACTCAATTACCAAGGGATCAATGTGGGACAGTGTTACTCCGACCAAATCCGAATCATCAAAAGTGATAACCTCGACTTCATGGGGCCGTTTAGCTGGAGTGAGTTGCTCTTGAGGGTTAGACTTTGACTAAATCATGTGCACTGCCGATGACATTAGCAGGCTGTATATCATGTGGATCATGAGGGGCGAATGTGAATCCTGTGTCAAGGCTACTGCTTTGGTTAGGTTACCCTTTCGGACGTATTGTTGTAGCCTACCTTCTTGTACCAATTTACCGTCATACAAGGTGAATGACGGTGCTTTGAATTTCTTGGGTAGCCCTGCCTTTGCAAGCCATCGTGCAAAAGGATCACGTTGATCGTCATCTGAGCTGTTTCTTCTTCGCTTACGCCTTGTACGAGGACTCTCTTCAGAAGAACTGGAAATTTCAGATCGTCCCTTCTTCTTGGGCTCCGAGGATAATGAGTCGGAGTTGCTATCAATATCATGTTGTCGGGCTCAAGATCGTCGACCAGCTACCCTCACGGGTCGTTCCGGGCCTTGGTATGCAGATTGTTTGGACTTCGCCACCTCCAAGGCCAAATCCTGACGGAGATGTTCGTTCTCTGCGATCATGTTCTCCAATCTTTGTTCGTTTTGCTTTGCTTGTTGCAGGATCGCTTGCATTGCTTCGTGCTCTGAAGTCGAGGGTGAGGCAAAATTCAAGGCACGTCTTGCGGCGATAGTCTCTGTTCCAAGCATGTTTGTTGGAGTGGTTTTATCTTGCGGTATAGGGTCAACAGTGACTGTCGGAGGATCTTCCGTCATGCTCGCCATGGATGTGCTTGAGTATTCCCATAGGCGGCGCCAATTGTGGAGATGTGGTTTGGAAATACTCTTCAGATCCTGGAAAACGCTCGTGATCTTCTTCTGGTCACTTGAAATAAACACTCCGGTCGGGGGTGCCGGAATTAGCACTCCGACGGACAAGTCAGAATCCACACTCAAGAATGCTTGTATTCTAAGTTAAGCACAACAATTCTCACATATCTCTTTCTGGCTGATGTTCTTCTATTTATATCTTTTCTTCCATAGGCCTCGGGATTAGGTCCATTTCCAACTCATATTCGGCACATTTTATAATAGACCGACCTTCACTCGGCCCCTTGCCTAATCGGTTATTTGGCCGAATAGGGTTGGATTTGAGCTTGCGAGCCAATTGCCGAGTGCTTCGAATCTCAACTCTCCGAGATTCGACTATCCGGAATCTCTACGACTCCCTCTTCTCGGCCTCCACATCTATACTTAAAATTTGATTTTGAAAGTGAAGGGTGGTTTTTGTTCTAAAATCATGGATATTTGGTTTGTGGAAAGAAAAGGGAAAAGATGTTAGGTTTTGAAAGGATGAAACTAATATGTATGTTGATGATGATGGTAGAGTTGGATATGTAATATCACTACTACCTTGAAAATGATGGGATTATATTTTTTGTTGAAAATTATCTGTTGAATATAAATATATGTTTTAGGCTATCAGTGGAGGATAATCTTGATTGTTACATAGAAATTACATGAGGATTAGGTAAATTGCAACCAATTACTCATACATCTTGCATTGTGCATTGTTTCATACTTAAACATTGAAAATGTATTGTTTTGAAAAAAATGGGTGAATACCTGGGTGAATCTGATTAGGGGGTATGTTTGTGGTTATTATGTTGGCCTGTATGTCCTTGGTGAAAGTCTAAAAACCCTCGCAGTTAGGTGCTGATCCTTCTGGTTAGTACCGGTAAAATGGCTTTGGTAGTGCTTGTATAGCCTACTGGCAGACACGTACCTAGAGATTCCCAATGTTTTGTATTCACTACCTTGTTTTCTAATATAAAAGGATTATTTTCATGAATTGATTCATAATCTGGCATTGCATAATTTTGACATGGAAAATGAGGAAAGTTTGACAAATGGCAAGCACGTGCATTCACCTTATAATTTTGTTAAGTTTCATGTACTGTGTTAGAGTATCTCTACTGCTCTTTGACTCACCCTATGTAGAAAATAACTTTCGAGTGCCGATGATATGCCTCTACCAAGGACATAGCTTGGGAGGACTTGGACCAAGGGCTTCATTTTATTTATTTGATGTAATTATTTATGTTTAAGCCGCGGGCTTTTTGTTGTACCTAAGCATCAACTTGGAAAGATGTAGCTAATATGGCATATGATTATTTGGTTTTATTGTTATTTTAATTCATGTATCCCTGCCATATGCTATAGATTCAAAATCTAGGATTTAGGAATGTTTATTCCATATGTCATCTTTTGAATTGATCAAAGTTATAAATGGAATAGAAGACGTGATGTTGTTGATCATTTGTAAGCAATGTTATGTGATGGGTTAGTGTTATTTATTTCAGGGTGTTACACAATAGAAGAATACCACACATCTATCTATATGAAAATATTGAGGAGAAATAAGGAAATCCCATCCTCTTGAAGAGAGAAAGAAGCTCAAAAAGCTACCGTGATGAAAAGACGATCCGCTCAGATCAAGAGGAAGCCCTCACCGTGCTCTATGTTTTGGTATAAAGAACTAAGAGTCGAAGATATTTAGAGATAGATGAAACCATGGGTTAAAGAGCTTGGAAGCTCAAAAATGTCAAAAAGAGATAGAAATGAGAGAGTAATCTAAAAAAAAGTGAGGAAAAATGGCCAAAAGTGACTTTTTAAAGGCCTACTCCCTAACAGACCACTCGATTAGTTAAATTTGTGCTCAAGCAGTGAATGAAAACTCTTAGTATCTATACTTTCTTAACAAACTGCTTGAGTGGTCAAAAGTGTGCCTGACTAGTGAATCAAGGCTTATAGTATCTTAGACAAATTTTAAAAATAGAGCAGGAAAGGTCTATGGACCACTCGAGTGGTGAAACTTGTGCTTAAGCGACCTATGCACACAACTTATATTCACAAACTTTGAACGGTCATAACTCTCTCTTCCAAACTCCGTTTTGAGTAATTCTTGTGTCTAAATCAATGCCCCAAAAATAAGCTTTCTTATGGTTTTAGACTCACATCAAGATTTAAACTGTGGAGAGAGAAAATGGTAAAAGAATGAAGACTACTCATAAACAACTTTTCGAATTTGAAATTTTTTATCCAACCTCGCCTAACCATTAAGGTAATGCCTCATCCAAGGCTCAAATATTGATCACGAAGGTTCTCAATTATAATAATAAAAGGGTCAAACTTGATTCTATTATGCCAAAGAGTCCAAAGCTACAACCTCCCTACCCTAGGAAATTTCGTCCTGAAATTAGAGTAGTACAACAAGTAAAAGATGAGAAAAGTACAATTCGAAACTTCAACTACCGCTTGTAGACACCCTATTTTTGACCGCCATTAAGAGTTGCGAACCACCGATTGATCACCTGATGATGAATTTATACACTTGTCAAATGCTCGATTTCCTTAGCAGAAAGCCTCAATTTTTTAGCCTCAAAAGCCTACTAACCTTGCACCATTTTTGGACCAAAACAGCAGTTTATCAAGCCTAATCACCCAGAGGCCTGCAGGCCACCTGGTGGTCAGCCAGCCAGAAGTGAGTGTACGGTCGTCCCCTTAGTGGCCGGTCGGCCAGCCGGCCACTTGTGTCAATAAAACTAGATATTTTTGCCAGCTGTGCTAGCTGTCTCCACAGGTGCATGCACTGCACCAACTATTCCTATACTGATATTTCCGAGAGCCTAACATAATTTTCTATATATGCTTGACCCTCTCTCATAAAATTAGGTTAGCAAATTTTGGTGACGCCAAATTCTTGAAAAAAAATTCTCTCTCTTTTCCTTGCAACCTATACACATCTATACATACCTTACCTAGGCTCCTTAAACTAAGCTTCTTGAGGGTTCTTGGCCGAGGTTATTGAGCTTGAATATTGGCTCTTGAGGGTGAGAAATTGGTAGTTTATAATTCAAAGAGTTACTCTTCTTCAACAGGTATAACTCCTACCTTCTTTCTTTTATTTCTTTACCATCTTTACTTGCTATTTTTGGATCATTTTTCAACTGTGTTTATGGGTTGAAACTTGTGGTGAAAAGTTATCCAAGGTAGAGGGGTTGACCACCCTTCTTTGAACCTTGTCTCTCAAGCTTTTACCCTTGTGTTTCCCATCTTTTCATCAACTTTTTCTTAGCTTTTTACCACTGAATTTCAAAGGTTTTCAGAGGTTAAAAATGTTGTTTTGAAGTCCCAAAAATGGAGGGGTTAGCCTCTCCTCCTTGTGTTTGTTTACTAGCTTAAATTCCTCAATATTGTAGCTTACTTTTTCAAGCTTCTCCATGTGAAATTCAGTGTTGTTTTGGACTGTTTTAAGTCATTCATTTCATTTATGCTTTGTATAGTGTGCTTGTAGTGCAATAGTCCTCATAAGTTTGGTGTTTTAGGCATTAGACACCAACCTATTTGAGTTGATGGCATTTATTTCAAGCTTTCCATACTTGTGTTCACCTCTAATCATCTCTGCACTCTCCCTCTTTTCTTGGCTTTTTCATTTCTTTGAGAGTTGTTTCAACCAAGGTGTTGTTAAGCTTGAAGAAGAAGTCACTCCATGCTTAATGGTTTAATCCCCTCGGGGGTTCATTACCAAAGGCATGACCTCTTTTTCATGCCCAAACAACCTCTTGTTTGACACTCTCTCCCTTAGTGGACTTGACTTTCATTTTGGACTAAAATGGCTAATGAATGGACAGGTAATTAAAAGGGGTAATAAAATGGCTTAAAAGAGGTAACAAGATAATAAA